TAGTTATAAGAAAAGATCTACATACATCGACACAGTTATACCTATAAGTTTTTTTTATCTCCTGTTACATTATGTAAAATGTTAAGGACTTGTCACTTTAACTTATTACACAATTGAATATAGGAAATTCATATGTCTATAATTGTACAAAAATATTTTCTTTTTCATCGGTTTTTAATATGTGTAAGTAACTTTAAACCCTTTTAACCATGCAAACAACTAACAAAACATGACAATCTGGCAAACCGAAGTCCTCCACTAACACACTACCTAATCAAGGTGAAACCATACACTTCATACTTGAACTTCATTAAGTATAAAGTTCCAGTGAGTGATATTGTAGGAGGTCCTTACCATGATGAAGATCAAAGGTCAAAATGTAGGTCAAAGTGAATGTGAACCTACATCCCAAAAACAGTCTCAATGTCTAGTATGAGATAGAGTCTGGACAAACTTTTTCTTTGAAGTAGATCAAAGCTGAAAATGTCTCACCTGAGTAAATCTATACCCCAAGTATGAATTTCCAGTAACAAGTGGTATAGGAGATGGAACCCAGACAGGATAGTAAAAGGAAGGACCAACACAATGCAAAACTTAAGTTCCCCCTGCCCCTGGTTCCCAGTGGGGAACAAAAAATCTTAACTTGGATAATTGCTGAGGTAACTGGCATCAATCATTCACTTGTAATTTTTACTTGTTTTTATAAGGAGCATATACTATTCTGTGACAAAACAATGACCAATTGTTTTGCGCCTTTTTTATTTCACATAATCTACACTTACTGTACTATCAGTAATTCTATAGGACAATTTCCGAAATTTTGATTAGTCCAGTTACAGATAAAGTGGGCTGTTAATTGTTGAATTAGTCCCACTAGAAAAGCATGAGGCTAGGACTCAAATATTTCATGTTTTTATATTTGAGTTCCAATAATCACTGGCTACATAAATCAGATATGTAGCAATATATGTTTCCTGAATATGTATATAACTTCAGAACACATAAGAAACATGTATAGGTGTAACTTATTACTGTATGGGATGGGAGCAATATCATGCAGGGATAACAACATGCTTCATTCACTTCATATGAAACTGCTGGAAAACCTTCACTATGAACACTCAATATTCAAAAATATCCAAACTGTCAGTGTTTCTAGCAGGAATTAGTTTTCAAAGGGATAATGGTTCTTTGTCTCTATTTCTATATCTTGACATGCACTAACAGATAACGCAGCAGGATATACAATGCAAAAAATGTCCAGGATCACAAACGACCCACCATACGGAGTGTCGAGAGCTTGGTTGGTGACATCTATCATCAATTATAAAATACATTTCCATTGCCATCTGAAATGAGTAGATATATACATAAATTTAGCTTTAAGCCTTTAAACTAGTTTTGTTTATGAATAATACATCTTTATATTTGGAAAACATTCTAAAAAATTCTTTATATTTGGAAAACATTTACTATGTTATGGAGATAATACATGTAAAAAATCTTTATATTTGGAAAACATATGATACTGCATGTTATGGAGAAAAAAAAAAATCTTTATATTTGGAAAACATATGATACTGCATGTTATGGAGATAATACATGTAAAAAATCTTTATATTTGGAAAACATATGATACTGCATGTTATGGAGATAATACATGTAAAAAATCTTTATATTTGGAAAACATATGATACTGCATGTTATGGAGATAATATATGTATTAGTATTGTTATACCGATTTATTCTCAATACTTTTCTACAGTGAATTAAGTCTGATATTCCAGATATTTGCCCCAAAACAACGATTACCAGTCAACATCTCAATGATGACTGCTTGCATCTCAGCTTGTTACTGTTGCTACTTCCCAGTCGATACTTGACAATTCCCACCATTGAGCAATAGAGCCCCCACCCCTACCCCCATACTTCCGGTTTGATGTTTGTATGTTGTCAGCCATTATAGACAGATTTGCTGAACCACTGAGGACATTCTCTTATCATTTATATTTATGTATATGCCTCATACAACAGTTTAGTCCTCTGGTTCAACATAAGACACGTTGACCTCAAACCCAGCCAACAAGTGTATAATGTTGTTGAACTATTGATCATAGCTTTATCTAGTCTGTACATATAGTACTATATAATTATTCAATTTCCATTCATATTATCAAATATGAATATTTCCAAACCCATTATACTCTCAAAATATATGAAGCAAACATTGATGAAGTTTAAGGTAATTCTTAAATGTTAAAAGTTCTCTCCTTATTTGAGTTTGAAAGGACACTTATAAATTGTCTTAAATATTTGAGGAAATCTAATAGTGCATACCTGCGTATATGAAAAAAGAGAAAAAATGGGTGGCCAGGATTTGTAGTAAGACTACAATATGCCTTTTAATCACAAGTCTGGTAGCATATTTTCCAGAATTGATTTGTTACTGCTTAATGAAGAAAGCTAGAAGTAATTTGGTCAAATTCTCCATCAAAAAGGCCGAGAAGTATTATTTAGTAAAAGGCAGTTCTGCTCTCTGACGATGTTGAATATGAATGAATTCATCCAGCCACACATTCTGACTGAAAATCTTTCAATTATACATACTTTGGTAATTAAATTATTTCAAACTGGCTTAGTCATTTTTAGACATAAAGTATTTATTTAAAATTACTAACACAAGGTTTGAGCTTACCTTAAATTATAAATTATTTAACCATCCCTTTTTTTCAAAATAAGCTCTATCAGAACAACATTTCCTATTTGTCCTGATTTAGTCTTCATAAAATAATTACCCCTAATTCTCTTTAACATCTGATTGAATTGATTAAACATCTTGATACTTACTGACAGGCTGTCCTCCTTCCCACTTTGTCACTTTAAGGATGGACTCTCCCTTTTTTGCCATTTGCTGCTTAATCTCTGGTTTCAGTGCATTCCTCACAGCCTTAGCACATATACCAGAAAACTCGATGTAGCTGGCAAAGAAAAACATTTTCATTATTGTTGTTCACAGCACCATCAACTGAGGATTAAGAATAATATGATTATGATATGACAAGTAAAGCTATATTAGAAGTTAATCTACAAGTTCAACTTACAATACAACAAAGATATATCTTCTAACCTTCGATAGCGATACATCTTTCCCTATAATATAGCTAAATATATAAGAGTATAACCAGTTGTCTGTTCTCAGCATATTCATTTACTACTCCTTCCATCTAGCAAACTCATGGTATAATTAACTGTCAACTTGGTCTTAGATTAAACTTCATAATTGAGAGTATGAATTTGTCATTTCAAATTTCTTCCAAAGTATGAAACCATGAATAGAGGGTTTATTTCAAAATATTCTCCACTACAAATTCAAGCTATATCCCCTCTCCTAGACCTACCACTACGAGCATAGCCGAAGATAAACTGTCAGATCTAAATAAATAAAAACGATAGAGAGGCCCATTCTTTGCCAAAATACGGAACTACTCTGACGGTGTGCGGAGTCATAAACTGGTTTAATAATGAATGTAGCATTCCTTTGCAGATGTTTATGTTGTAGTAGTCAGTTCCAACAACTCCACGTTTCCAGTTGGCATTGTTTGACCTTGGGGATTCTATTGTGTATTTAGTAGTATTAACATGAATTTAATTAAAATAACAAGTTTAATCTCAATATTGATAAATGAATAAAACCAACATGCTATGACTGATACCTCAATCCAGCCGCTCTCCATGCAGCCGACATTATGGAAGTATTTCAATGCCGGTTTCGTCAAGTCGACAGCGATGGCTTCCAACGAAAGGTCAAGGTTGAATATCAAGTGCTTTCTAAACACCGACGTGGGTAAATCCGGAACGGAATATCTTAGTTCATTGATATTTATTACAAAATGACAGCTGGTCCCTTCGAAAGTCATGTCGATGTTTTCTTATATTTTTTGTCGCATCCAATATCTCAATTAATTACTTTAATTTCACCTGGTAAAATTCAAAGCACCTTTTACTCAGTCAGAGTTACTTCCCTTAGTACATGGACACGTTTCCTATTTCAATTAAATAACTGAGTACTGTTTTTGGGCAGAAATTGTTTTGTCCCCTAATGGTTATCGTTATTAGTAAATAGAAGCTTAACTCCGGCTACAGTATATATATTGTAAATATTGTACTGATAATTTTTGTAATATTTTATCACGGACTGTGTATATAAGTCCGTGATTTTATAGACTTTAAAGGTACTAGATGTTTGACCATACATTTAGGGACGATTTATGTGATAGCACAAAAAGGGAAAGGTAGTCCAGTGCAGGGAGTGGTCCAAATCAAGTAATAAAACTCGGAGATGAAAAGATCCATTTCAACCGAATCGAAACATTGTTTCAACAAAGTATTCACCCGAGTCCAATTTGGGCCAAACGTAGCTAGCCTACACACAAACAATTGAGAAAATGTAATTACCCCATCACCTAACTCATGACGAGGTCGGGGACATTAAAAAAATACTGGGGCCAGTTGTTCAAAGGTTAGCCCTTTGAAAGCAAAGGCTACACAGTTTTATCCGGGGCATTTATAAAAAGGAGGTAAAGGGTAATTTTCGTATATTTTTTAATTCTCGTGCTCTATGAGTCAGTGACGAAATAAATCTTCGTTAGTCTCTACTAAAGGTTATATATCAAACAAAGGTTCAGTAAATAAGGGCCCATCAGTGTGTCTTAAATAACATTCTAGGTTTATTTCCCTGCCCACTTTTCTCTATTTGTTCAACGAGACAAAAATAAAGTATGCAAGTTATAATGTGCACGAGGTAAGTTATAAATGTGATTAAGATGAATATATGTAATTAAGACAGCTATTTGTATTTAAGATACTTATATGTAATTAAGATTTTTTTTTATGTATTTGATATAGTTATATGTAATTAAGATAGTTTTATGTAATTAAGATGGTCTGGATGTCTGGTCAACGAAGACATTTAGTGTTAATCTAACCATGATATCAAACCTCGCCATAGCCCCGAAGTCAAAGGATTGTAGTATAGCCGACGAAATATCATATCAGAGCTAGCATTTACATTTACATTTTAAAAAATCAAACGGTATGTATTAATTTCCTTTTTTCTAGTGGTAATCCTAAACGTTTCCAGAGCAACGAGGTTACCCGGATGGGGGATGGGGACGGGCACAAGCCAGGTTCTGCCCCTCGGAGGGATTTGGCCGGACCCGTAGAAGATATCGAGACAGAAGGACAGAAGCGACTTCAAGAACTTCTACAGAAACAACTTCGCACCAGCCTCACCAGACAGTACGTACATTACTACAGTACGGGAAAAGACACGTATTTGTAATACACAAACATTATTAATCTAAATATAAAACATGAAGACTATTGAAATGTTTTATGTTGGAAATATATCAATGTTTATGTACATATAAGATATGACCGCAATAAAAGGTTGTGTGACCTTATTCCGAAGGTTTCTAACTATTTCTAACGATTTTATTTTTGTCTTGGTCGCGCAATACTGTGACCTGTATTTCATTTTTATGCTCATGTACTCAAAAGTTAAGGAGAACACTAAAATTTATTATTTGTCTCCACTCCACTGACCCGCTTCCTGGTAAATCAGAATTCCGATTGCAAAATAGGGAACATGCAAACAAAACTAATATGACTAGACCAGGACAATATCTGAACAAATGAGACATTTACAAATTAACACTTAAAGAATAAAAGGGAAATAAAACCATATGTTTCGGAAGGGTAAGCGTCTTTTGCATCGTCGGTGCTGACGCTATATGAATCTAGTCTAATACAAGTAATAGTATGTTCTCAATTGAGTATCAGGTACATGAGAACGAAACCAGAGGACAAGAAACTAGAATATTACCCAATGACATCCAGATCATGTGACAGGTCGAGATTAAGAAATTTTATAATGAAATGGTAACGATAGAAAAATTATCAAGCTCCATCTTTCACGTTTGTTGGAAACAACTATAATACGTACATTTGCTTCATGATAGCTCATTATTTCTTTACTCACATCGCTGCGGTTACAGATGACGTGTAACGAATCCCAACTTTAACAGAGAAACGCAAAGACTACAAAAACAACAAAGAAAATACCAACAGAATCTTTATACAAATTGAAAATTAATGACATGAGGGCGAGACATGAACAAAGAGAAAAGAAACCATGATAAAGTACTAGAGTGACGGAAGGGTAAACGTCTTCTGCTTCATCGACAACACCCGTCATGTATATTTTGGTCAATCCAAGTAGGCAATGTAACGTTCCATAGGGAGAACCGTGATGTGCAGGAAAGTAACCGCGATGTGCTGGACAGTAACCGTGATGTGCGGGACAATAGAAAATTTAGATGTTGTAATGTCTTGTTTAAATCGTCTAACATTTTTAGGATCATTGATCTGTTTAAAGGACACGGAGTGTGTGTCCTATATAATTCTGACATTTAATCTCTAAACTCCCCCTCTTCATTCAGACAGATTTCTCAGGGTCGGACATTTGTTGGTGGTACCCCTTTCAAAGCATCCACTGACGACCTTTCAGGCGTGACGTCATTATCCGAGTTCAAGATACTCGGAGAGAAGGACGCTTACATCCAGGAGCTGAAACAGTGTGGTTTGACAGAGGAGGAAATAACACTCAAGTTGCACACAGACAATCTTGCCGACAAACAAGTAAGTGTTCCAGAGAAAAGTGATTATCATGATTTGCTGAATGATATATGTAATTCTAGATGCAAGCACGCAATTTACTAATTTTAAATACTGTACGTTGGAAAAGGTAAAAAAAATTAATAAACAAAAATTAAAAATTGTTTTGAATATGTACAGTATTACATTGATATCAGATAAAATAAATATGAGCAAAAATGTGACTCTTTGTCTCGAAATAAGATACTGATACAAAAGGGACAGAACAAAGTCAAAGGAACGTTCTGTATGTTTATTATCAGACTGATATAAACAGGGTTTTATCACATGATTGTCTGGATATTCTGTGAATACACACATATGTAAAATACCAAGCTATTGTGTCGTAAGGTTGAGAAATACTCGCTCACTCGATTTGTGATTTATGAAACTCGTCACAAAATTATCATTTTAGCTCGCCAAAGGCACGCAAAAATGAATGATTCTCCAGAATTGTTGCATAAATCAGATATCAAATGGAAACTTAAGCAAGATTTTGTATTTAATATGTGTACCATATAAGTATTAAGAGTGAGATAGTTCGATTGAAAAAATGTAAATTATTCAGACCATGATGATGCAGGTTCAGACGAAGTTGGTGATATGTTATGTCAGGGTTTGGACTTTAAGTGAAGTTTTAAGCCACATATATAGAGTTTTTGAAAGAATATTCAACCACAAGGATTCGGCAATGTAATATTACTATTTATCACATAATTGTCCTTTCGTCCAGAATTTCACTGAGGCTCGCAAAAATAAAAATTGCTAATTTTATTTTTGCAAGATATCACATAAAATTAAAACTTGTATAAAATTGTATACATATCACTTCCCCTTGTGTATTTTCATTCTGAACAATTCTCAACAATTTCCTGAGATTTTGATAGTAGGAAAGAGTAGTAAGCTGATGTGCAGGGGTATCGTAGTTTGAAGAAATGAGAATTTGTGCTTTCAGACTTTTCAGAATTTAAATGGGTAACAATAGAGATAAACAATTTTCCTTTGATTTAACAGTATGACAGGAAGAGAAGATATGGCGCAAATACATCATTCTACAAAGATAAGCTTGAGATGATAGAGGATAAAATCAGACGGAGGAACGATAACCTGTCCAAACCTGACACGTTTTCTGACCAGAAGGTTCTCAGTCGCCACGAGATGGATCTCGAGAGAGCACTTGTGAAGGATGACACAGCCTCGCGTACCCTTTCAACGGCTCTCACCACACAAGCTAAACACAAGACACATCTTCATCCAGATGATCCTATGAACCACCTCCCTGAGATATTAGCCTCTGTCACGGAAGGGGGATGTAAAAAGGGTGATAGACAAAAATGGTTGGATTCAGAGATGCAAGAAGAGCTTAATATTTGTGATTTTCCAAAAGAAAAACAATTTTATAAAGAACGAGAACGTTTTTCTAATTCAGATCATGAACATAATTGTGAAGTTGTTCCAAAGAAGCCAGATGCCTTTGTCACAGAAAAGGACGCAGGAGCAAATATAATATCAAATGAGATACAACGAGATTCAAAATTGTCATGTGACAGTACAGATACAATAGCCACGATGGCGACTCCCACATTTGTCTGTGAAAGCGAGGAAGCTGACGCGGTCTCTAAGGAAAGACATGGACACGTAGAATGGGTAGCTGAGGAAGACATCGTGAAGAACCGACTGACAACTGAGGAAATCCAACAAATTCCAAGATTTGAGAACTATTCACCCGGCCCTATGAGCAAGGTAATTTATGACGAGAAATAATGTTGTCTTCTTCTTAAGTCCATATTTGCAAGCATAATTCATAAGGACACAAAATAACAAATATACATACTCGTTTTATCTAGATTGAAAAGAGAAACGGATATTTCGTCTGAACTATGGCGTTTTATTAATCTCTTTCCCCAAAATTGAGGATTGGTGATGTTGGTGATTTTCATTTGTAAGGAATGGTAAGTTAACAAGGTAAGTTAACAACACGTTTCGTTCCGAACTTAGATACAGGTACAAGCATAACCAATACAACTGCGTCATGGAGCTGTCGCGGCCTTCAAAGTCTCTAAAATGATGTTAAGAATTGTTAAAAGCAAGACCAGTTTGGGAAATCATAACTGCAAAACGAATGCGAAGAGGCGCAAGTTTCTCAGAATTCAATTAATTTAACAATTATTGATTACCATTTAAGCACGTGTTCACATAACATAAGTTGATACTTGATCCTCCTCTTGTAACGGGGTTGAACGATATTCCACATTTGTTAATTGAGTATTACAATATCATATTTTGTAATCAGGGATGTTGCCTTGAATATAAAAGGATGACGCCTAATAGTAGATTATTTGACGTGAAAGCTTAGTATATTTGAACCACCACCCTTGCCAGATCAAATATCACTAAAACGAAGGACAGAACACGATGAAATGTAATTGTAAAGAATAAGAATACGCGGTATTTTTCTATATATTTTGAAATTACACAAGTGATTGATGTCCTCTGCACCGGAAGTATTTCATCACATACGTGGCTTGTTTTGAGTTGTCATTAGGTATATTTAGCCCTGTTGATGTATTATGTTATGTTCAGTTAATCAAATCAACCTTAACAGAACTCGTCAAAACTTGAGTTTGGAGATGAAATATTTCATGTTTAAAAATGAGAAAAAAAAACGTTTCCAACGTGACGTGATAGTATCAATCTTGTAGGTGCTGTATATCAAAAACCTATCTAATAAAGTAACCGAAGAGGATCTGGTGGCCCTCTTTATAAGGTTCCAGAGCAGTGATGAGGACAAACTTCACTTCCGGTTGTGTACAGGGCGGATGAAAGGACAGGCTTTCGTTACGTTTCCCAGTGAGTAGTATTCCAGGATGAGAGGATACATGTATTTACCCGTGATTTTAAAGTTGGTTAATATGTAGAAGTACACATGATACTTTGTCTCTGTAGAAAACCTGTATAATGCAAAATTGCACTAAATTGATTAGTTTAGATCATATTACACAATATTGATGCTCCACTGTTGAACTTTATTCGATGATCTTATACCAAGTGTCAGGATCATTTGTCTTTACCATTTTCACTTTATAGAGCTTTAGTGGAGGATGTACAGTAATGAGGTGATACACTTAAGATTTTGAGATAACGATTTTAGAACAATATTTTTAATATGAAAGTTTCAGTGTACATTCTAAAGTAAAGAGTTCTGTTTCGTTTGTCACATTTTAGGTACCGAGAAAGCCGTATCTGCAATGCAGCTCATTCACGGACTGAACTACAAAGGCAAACCTATCATCATTCAATTTGGACGAGGTTCGAATTGAATTCTCCTGATTTGATTTCTTGTTGGTGCTCTTATTGGTTAACATGTTTTCTCATTGTATCTTATTTTTTCATCGGTTTTATTATAAAAGAATCACAATCATTAAAATGATTAAACGATGTGAATCAAACGGCTGTTATTATTTGTAAATTGTAGATCTGATAAGATCTATTGTGACGAGATAAGCAAATACACACTCGCAAATGACGTTGTGACGTCACAATGGAGACATATAGAACTAGTATGACTTTAGTTTGATATTGATTTGAAATTTGCAATAATTCATTATATGATAAAAAGGATGTGAAATCAGTTGCATTGTCATATGCCAAATGCTAACAACAATAGAAATATTCTAGACTTGAGCCGTTTTTATAAATATTATTAAATTTATCATTTGTAAAATCCAATAACTATATAGATGTAAGTTATTGAAATGGTGATGTTTGTGTTCTTTGAAAGTGTATATTTGTCACGTCATAATCGTCTACTGGATAAAGAAGATATGAAATCAACAACGAACTACGTGTCTTGAATATACTTTATTATAATATTACACATTCTTTCAATTCACACTCAATAAGAAATTGATCTATGTGAATATAACTTTGACACAAAACCAATTGTCAACAACAAAAACAAAAAACAAAGAACAGCAACAAGTTAGTGTAAGATAACATTATCACAGATATAATATCATTGTAAGGGCACACAATCTACTGCTCTGCTGGCATGTTTAAAACACCAATCACTACATACGATCTATTATTGAAAACTAAATAAAAATCGCTTCAAATGTTTATATGTCCACGGAACATTAAAACATCTCTTATGGCCTATGTTGAAATATGAAAAAAAAATCTCATAACGTAAAAAGATATTTCAGATATGGGTCTTGGGATTCTTTGTAGTGTCAAATATAAATTATCTTGCAAAACAGTTGACTAGAATAATCATATGATTTAAGCCTAGATAAATAGCACTTATATTTTAAGAGAATGTTAAATTACATTTGATAGTAAATAAAAGACACACTAAATATCATCTGACGCTGTGCGTTTATAATTATACTCGCGTTTTAAATAACATTACAGTGCAGGTGATGGCGTGGGCTTTATCAGGCTAATTGTCGGATTCTAGTAAAGGATGATCCAAGAAAGGACTAACTTATAATTCAGTGCGTTGTTATAATCATATATCGAGTGCCAGTGAAATATGTGTTATACAGCTGACTGCGGCATTTAAATATTGGTGATAATTTCTCTTGCAGACGTACTAAACATTTAAATAAACAAGCGATACTAATTTCTAGAAGGCAATAGTGAACATATAAACTGCAAAATATAGAACACACCGAATGAGATATGCCGAGTGTACAGACTATAGAGAGAGCAAAAGTTTACATACACCTTAAGTTTACGTCCTAGTGTTGACATTTTAATTATATGTTGTCGGCTAGTTAATGCATATAGATATTTTAATCAAATTCCACTGAAGTTGGTGAAGGCCATGTTTGCTGTTTGCTAAAATTCTAGGCAGTTTATATTAGGTAACCATGTTAAAAGTTAATTTATTATCAGGCATTATTTCTTAAAACAACCAACAACACATGATTTGTTTCCTGAAATAAGTAATAGTGTAAGTTGTAAAGATGACTTTATGGCCATGTTCAAAATTTCCTCACTACTGTATCTCTTTGCTTTAAATCCGAGACATTGTCTTAATTTAATTATATATATTTATCATGTTCCGGAAACTGTTCAAAGGAGGTATACGTGTATTCGTTAAAAGACGTAGACAATTACTGCTTAACCATTCTTTGTATACGACTGTGACATACTCTCAAGAAGGCACCATCTTTACTTACTGCCTCTTGGAAAAGGTTTACCTCGTGCCAAATTACGTTTTGTTCGAGCTAGATAGCCGATATAAAATGCTTTAAACTGAAAGGATCCTTGTAGATCTTTCAATGCCGGATGGTCAACCAAATTATGATAAATCGATTTCGTTTTCTTACCATTTGGTTTAAAATTATTTGCCATGGCATCTGCAAGAGAGACGTTTGATATCAAAGCAATGCGCATGAAGTTGGTTTACATCGGTATATAAAACGATTTATTATTTTTCATATCACAGTCATCTTTCGTTTGTTACTCCTGGTTATATACAAAATATAGATATATATTACTTTAAGTGAATTGCTTAAAACCTGTATGACTTTTTTATATGGACGGATTGCCCCACTTAGTGGGAGTGTCACTCATTGTTTTGTTTTCCTTACTGCAACTTCGCAGTCCATGAACTGAACATTTCGTTAAGCGAATCATTCCTAGATGAATTGTTGCCTCCCTGAAAGTCAGCCATGTGGCGCTGTAGTTCCGCAAGCTTCTGTCGGATTTCTTCCTCCTAGAAAATATTAAAATTTAAGTCTGACAATTCTCTGCGTTCATTAAACATATTAACAGTAAAACGGATGTACAGTCAAACCTATCTGCAAAGACAACTCAATGAAGAAGGGAAAAGTGGTCTTTATGTCTATTAGTTTCTGTAAGATTCCTAAAAACAACGAACAAGACATATGTTGCTTTGAGTTTGTAGCTAATAAGGGGGCTTGTGCAAGTATTAGTTTGTTGACTGATGCGGATTCTTTACAATACATGTATATTTCACCATTATTAGTTCATATATACGTTTATTTACGAAAAAAATAATGATTTCTTTATGTTGATATCGTCATTTACAGTATTACTTTAGGTATAATAATTTGCATAGCTCTTTCCTAGATATTAGATAGTGTAATTAACACTAGATGTGATGCTTATTATTATTGTATTGTAAAACCGCTTGCTATATGTTGCTATTGGGTGTCCAACCTATCGTCATTATTACATAAATATCAGCAATATTTACCACATTTTCGTTTCCCTTTCGGATTTCCTCTAGGATGTTAGTACGAAGCGCGTAGAAAGATGCTTTAATGGCAAGTTCTTTGGCGCGGGGTCTGGTATTTCCGGCTCGTGATGGAGAAGTTGAGGTCGATCTAACATTTCGACCTGGTGATCGTGATCTTGCCCTCTCACGATCAGACCGAGCGACCAACAGTGACTCTCGCTCCATGTCCATCCTACAATAATATCGTTTTATTTCTTAACAATATTTAAATGTATAACAAATTAGATTCGTACCCAACTAATACGTCTAATTCATGATAGTTGCCACTCAAATTGTACAGAAACACGCTAGCTTAGACGACCGAAATATACTTGAAATGTTCGTGAAAATAACTCTCTTAGCCAAACCACTATAGAAATACGATGCTGATTCCAATTTGCTTAGTTTAACCATAATTTTTGTTCTAGTTAGCATTATCTAAACAGGCGGCTCTTGTTATCTATGGAAAATGTGAATTCACATGAAAATATGTTAACACCATACCTTGCCGCCTCAAGTTCCCTTGCTGATATCTCTGCTTTACCTATCATCGATGCACACATTTGATCTAGTGATGCTGCTAGGTCGTCGAAAGCACCTTTTTCAAAATATAAAAAAAATTAAATCATTGAATATATTTGTTCACGATTTGGTTTGTTTTGTGGTGTGAATACTAGTCATGTAGCGAATGAAATGTCTATCCCGTGGAAAACAGCCAATGGTAGTGACAATTTAGGTCAATGATAAATAATGATATGGATTATTTTGTAAACTTTTGAAGAACACAGACAATAGTTTCGACTACTCAATTTGTAATTCTATGTTACTTACTTTTCATTTCTGTTTCGACGCCGATCATTTCGTGCTGAAGTAACGTTGTGTTGTCGAGGTCCTCGCTTAGACTTTTGTTAACTTCCGGTTGTTCGTTCAGGATCTCATTAAAGCTCTGTTCGCTTTCAATGAGAGCTTCCCAGTTGCGTCCGATACTCTTTGCTGCCTTGGCCATCTTTCTACACATGGTGTTAATGTGACGTAATCTCTGTATCTCGTGGTCTATATCGTCATTGAGTGTCTCGTCCACACGTGCAGATTTGTCTTTCATCACTTTCCAGTAATGTTTGAATACGTCCATCGTCCGAGACCGCCAGGACCGGTGTCTCTTATAGGCTGTAATAGAAAACACAGTAAACTCGTAACAATGTTCATTTGGTAGAACCAGATTTGTTGTGTATTTACTACAATGAAATATATAAAGTGTGACGTCAGTGACAGAGTTTAAAGATTTCTTTAAACTTGTTTTAACTAAGGAATACGCAATCAATGTAACTTGTTAGACGGTATTTAGGTGATAAACACACGTACTTTTTAGCATATTCTTCATTATTATATACACTTAATATTATCAAAACAAGTAACAGTAGCGTGTTGACTGGACTCAAGTTAACATGCACGAAAACATCGTCAGTTTAACTGCCAAAATTTAACAGAATCGAATTTAAAAAGACAATTAGAAGTTCATTTACATCTAGCCATGACCTCACCTTCTTTAGCACAGGACATTATTTCGAGTTGATCTTCAGCAAATGAAAGATCTCCATCCTCTTCTGGTAATTTCATGCGTTTGAAGTCGTTGATGGCTTCTTGCAGTGTCTCGGTTTCTGTCAATCTGCTGGCCGATCGCATGTTTTCCCTCACCATACCCTTCACTGCGTACGTGTCAAAAACAATGAAAATGGATAAGTAACAAAATGAAACTTTTGAAGTTTAGACAATGATGTTTGGTGTTCAGACAATGTTCACACGGAATACCTCGACAAAGTTACAAATAAAAAATTAAAGAAATAAATAGATATGTGTTTAGGAAGGATAAACGTCATCTGCTTAATCGACGACACTGCCATAAGCGTCATGCAACGTTCTCAAAAATAACAAGGTTAAAAAGAAATGAGAAGAATATTTCCCAATAATATTAACGTGTCAAGTCGAAGAACAAAGTAGACAGTTTCAATTAGAATAAGAACAGAAAACAATGTTAACAATAAACAAGAGCATGTAAAAACAAGGAAAGGAGCAACGGAACAGGAAAGCGCATACAAAAAACGTACATAAGTTTTCGCAATTGAAGTAATTAGCCCAAAGACCTTTCAAACTTTGATATCACTGAATCAATTATCCGGCATTGTATACTGTTTGGGTACATTTCGATAGATTAAAAAAGGTCGATTCATATTTGATAGCTTAAAATGATTAAACAAAGCATGTCGATATTTTGTATTAAATAGTGTTGCTGGCTATCGATGTGTTGAGAAAACCCATCATAATCTACCTTTAGTCATGTTCTCTTCTAACTCCAACTCCTTGAGCGCGTCTTCTGCTGCTCTGAAACTTTCTTCAGCTTCGCCCTTCGCTGGATTTCTCTCGTCCTCATCATCGTTATTGATAGAGCTGTACATGCTTGGCACTGATATCCTGGTGGGAGTGGTCTGTATGAAGGAGTTACCTTTCTTTGGTGTACTCGTGACACGATCAAGCGGCTCCCGGGGAGTAGACGTTTCTAAAAATAAAAGACATGCGGGTAACACTATCACAGTGCACTGGAGTAAAAGTAATACCTCAGTAATGTGTTATCACGTGAACAAGCCATGTGTGATTTAATATCAGAGCCTACATATGTCAATATCGTGAACACTGGTTAAGTTGTTCATACCATTGACAAGGTAAATGTACCAATGAGTTCAACAAAATACTTTTAATAAAATCATGATGTAAAAGCTTTGTAGTCTGTTACGTCTCTCGTGAAGATTGCTTCATCAAATATTTATGAAAGAATACAAACAATTTTAAGATTGGTAAGTAAAACTGAACGCTAGAATTACGCGAAATATTGCAGTAGTGTACTTAATGATGTTGACGAATTCACCCCATATATTGTCCTCTGATATTAATCTATTTTTATTAAATTTTATTTAATTTCAAAGAAAATTAAAAATACAACTTGCTGGAATGAATAGCAAACGCTGCTGATACCATTACCCGGGCGGAATCTATTACGTAACTGCAAGCTTTACCTGGTGAAAAATGCAATCCGCTGTCGTCTCGAAGTGTCTGCATACCACTATCTCGCCCTAGGGATCGATCTAGGTTGACTACATAAGGAATCAGTGTTAATCCGTTAGAATATATGATGACAGGATAATATGGTATTTTAGAAGAGATAGATATTGACATTAAATATACAAGTGTATGGTGGGATTAGAATATACATATTAGTCTTCCATTACCCGGACATACCAGTATCGCTACCGTACATGAGAAGCATTTTAATTACATTTCAACAGGCACTTCCTCGGGTATACCATGATAATCTATTGCCTTTAAATATGTAACAATTATTAAAATATCAATACTGGTTACATCTGAATATGTTTCTATATATGATTATAATTTCATTAATAACGACATATTTACACATTTGTTAAAAACTTTATTTACATTCTAATATCAAAGATGTTTAATATATTAACAGGTATGCACACACAAATATATATAACTGTGTTAAAGACAAATCATCAATGCGTTATATAGCGTTACCAAATATTAATATTATCTATCCAAAGCTCATTGGTACATGACATTTAACTTATGTAATACCCTGCTTTGCACTTGAATCGAATATACCATATTAAGCCTGAATCATATCGAAAGTACTTAATACCAGCTTGGGACATTTCTATTTATCAGTATCGGACATGGTAGAAAGTTATTGAAATTAATGTCAGCCGAAGAACGGAAATGCATTAAGTAATGTATAATACAAGCGAGATTCGAAAGAAAACCGAGAAAAAGTGTATTTCAATTTTTTTTCCATCTCCCGTTTCGTTCGATCTTGACATCTTTTACATGTAGCCATCGTATTATGTCATTTGAGGCTTTATCTGTAGGAAAACATAATAACAGCATTTAATTCTTACAAAAAGCAGCTTGAATTAACATCTATATTCAATGCGTTTAATCTAAGTCCGTATCTTGAGGAATCATTCCATTTTAACTGAGACGATTGGGTAAATGTGACATCTGATAGGTGGGACAAATATTTTCAACTAAATAATTACTGTATTCGTATACAAAATCTATTGATCCTATTACAGTTCTTTAGATGGTTATTATGTAACGTTGAAATATATCATTTGGCTCAAATTTAAAGAGCAATTCCTATAATCACATAAGAGATAGGATCAACTTCACTCAGGCTTAATGAGTGTTATCAAAAACACCAAACAGAAATAATGTATTTATAATGTGATGGAAATCTAAACTTTGGAGCTGTCAACTTGATCTATTTTTTGTTGTTTTTAATACTAGTTATGATTAAGCTGAACTAATGTTGACTACTGACAATCTTGTTGGATAAAATCACGCTGTAAACATTTGTTAGATGAGGTGACTTGCGGAGCAAGGTAGCAAAACATTAGCTCTACATCAAACTCACACAAACCACACAATACTTTATAAAACAAGAACTTTTGTGGGTAATTTTCGATGATTCTCATTGATATTCCGCATACCGTTGATATGATTGTTCAAAAAAAGAGTTTATATTGATTGAGATATTTATTGTTTGTATGGATTTTTACGACTTTCACCGAGTATTTCACACCACAAAAGCTACGTTTTAAACAGTGAACTGAAGTCATAGCGCTACATGTTAACATTGGATGACGGTGGTCCCAAAACATTGACGGAGAAATGAATGACATCGTTAGACGGATGACAACGAATAAAAGTGACAGAAATTAATAATTTAGTCATGAAAATGAAAATAATTCATGGTAAACAATAGTACACTAATGGAAATGTGAATGACATCATTTGATGGATATCAACAAATAAAACTGACAAGTTCTGACATTTTTACCATGACAATGAAAATTCACTACAATGTATGTTTCAATGTTTACAGACAGCGCTCGAAGTTCATTGATGGAGAAAACATCGACAACCAGATAAACATGAATGATAAAACATGTTACCCAAATGAAAATGAAATCAAAGAAAAAAACATTGGATTTCATAAATGACAATAGAAATTAAATGAACAACTATGAAGAACCTCGTGATAAATGCCTTGACCTTTAGCTCCCTACTCCACCTAAGTTCTGGCACGTGGTTGTCGAAATACCAGGCTTGCTTTCATTACAAATAGCCTTTTAATACAAAGCGTCATCCTTACCTACAGTGTTTAGATTTGGAACCTGTTCTGTCTGGGTGATGTAGATGTGAACTCCGCCAGAACCGTTCAGCTCTATTTGCTCCGGCCGTGAACTAGACTGTTCTGTCTGAAGGCAAGCGTCTCTTGTTGTATTTAACACACATGGTGTTACAGAGTCTGATGTATTTAATTGATCAATGTCATCATCTGCCTCTAAACTAATGATACTATTCTTTTCATTTTCTTCATTCTCCTCCTTCTCCTCGACCGTTTTGTTTTCCTCCCGGCTATCCAGAATGTCGTTCTCTATTTGTATCATATACAATGTCACACGAAATGCAAAAATACTAAAGGAAGACAGCTTATATGCTTATTAATGTGATGAGAAAAAATGGATTTGATGGGGAAATAAAACTGAAAACTGGGATATTTTCACGGTGTTTGTAATTTTACCTTTTTCGAGATTTCAACATGAATGGTACGATGATGTGCCATCATCCGGAAAGCTAATACACTCCATTAGTTTCCAAAATTTAGTAATTTTTAACCAATTTCAATCAAGAAGACATACAATCATACAACATTTAAAAAAATAAAAGAACTGTCAAAGCGAGGTATGATATGAATTAGTGTGAAAATATCCCAATACACAATGTTTTTGTTATGAATGTAAATGGATTTATTGAATATGAATGCACTATACATACACAAAGATGAGATATGATATGTGAGATCAGTGTGTTTTTCGGTACAATCACAAGCCCAGTCAAGGTAACTGCCTTGATGTATAACGTCATTTGAACGATCATTCTTTAATATTAAAACTTTGTCTTCATGTAAAATATTTGTACAGTAGTAGTAGTATTAAATTGAGAATAATGGCAAAAACGTGGTGAACTGGCCTTGTATTTGTAAGTGACAGTGATTTGGGGAGATAAGATGTAAATCACAACGTGACACAACATGGATAGTCACGTGATATGTTAAACACACATATTTGTTGTACCTTTACATGAATAGTTGGTTGTACAACCCCCTCTCATGCGACAGGTGTTTCTACCTGCACAATCAGGTATTGCACGTGTACGATATGTCATTGTCTCTGAAATACAACCATTAAAGATAAACTCATCTGGTCACACCAAACAGCAGGATGTGTTATGAATATACATGAAGCGGCAATTAAGCAGTTGGATAAGGTCATTCATAACTTATATAATTGTCAATGGGTTAATTAAGCGATACAAGCCATCTTTATGTAACTTATGGTTATATGAACGTTCCATATCGGTGACTCACCTACTGACGAGAAGTCCGGTATGGGGAGCTGGTCGTCCTGTACCACGTAGATATGCAAGCCTTTGTTCCTGCTCACAAGATGTATTGGGGCAGTATCATTTAAGCTCCTGTTACCTGTGTCAAAACTTTTGTTTCCCGCGTCCAAGCTCCTGTTTCCCGCATCAAAACTCCTATTTCCGGCATCAAAGCTTCTATTTCCAGCTTCAAAACTTTTGTTTAGAGGTACTTCGACCACAGGTTCAATACGTTCTTGCTTCGGAACTAAAAAGCAAATGTTACAGATTTCCAGTAAAGTAACTTTCATATGTTCAGTTGTTAAATAATGGTTGTATTATTGTTTATAATTTTCACAAAATCAAATCTCGAAACGGTTAAAATATTAGGGCTGAATTAAATTACGAGACCTTTGAAATAAATAGGATCATAAAAACACCTAACTGCTCTTTAAAATAAATGCCGGTTGTTTAAACATATGCTATGAATAACTGTAGCACTAACTTATAAGATTTTTCGACGTCATACCTGTTCTACCCAGCACGTTGGCGAGAATGTCCTTTGCTGAAGTTATGTCGCCATCTTCCTCCTCCAATCGTAGTGCTCGGCATTTATCTAGAGCCGCTTCTATAGCTAATCCTTCACAGGCCCGAGTTGCTCTTCGCAACTCCTTTCGACATATCATACGCTCTGTAAACACAATAATTGCAATTAGATTGTGATTGCATATAAATCAAATATATAAATAATTTGTATGTTTTTGTAATTCTCAATATCTTTATCGGAAATAGAGTCAATTTCTAGATCTTTCAAAAAATCAACATTCCATCGTTTGATTTATTAAATTTTTTAAATAGATTGTTTTGCAACGCTTTCCCCATTATCTGTCTTACATGTTTTGGAGAGTAACCCCTTCCATGTCATAAGCTTAAAGTTTTTCAACATGCAATGCGCTGATAATTATTTTTATTACAAAGGTCAGTCGACTCATGGGAAAAAGTTGTCGAACAAGGAGGAGAAATGTGCCCACTGCAAATTCAATGTGATATGGATAAAAGAGTAGTTGTTAATCTTATAACGATGCACCGTAAACATTTAAAGGGTGTATTGAATTCATGTCAAGCAAACCATTGTTTTACATACTCATTTTCCCACCTGTAAATGACGAAACAAAATATATATGACTAGATGGCAATCATAACTGCCAAAACGTTGACTTCAGCACATAAAATTGTGAAGCATTTTTGTTTCATACTTAAAAATGATAAGTGTCAATTATAATTTAACAACTCAAAACCAATTAAACTAGGGATATTGATATCAAAGGAAACCTGAAACACACAAGGACAGTAGCTAAGCGTCGTTTGCCTCATAAACATTCGATTTAGAAACCGGAGATAAATTCAAACAATGCCAGTCCTCAATGGACATGAGACATTAGGAGAAGTCGACCTACATTTGGGAAATAGGCTATAGTTCGAAAGGAGAATTCGATAATAGCATTTACAAAGTTCTGTGAACCTTTGATACAGTGTGGCCGTCGTCATTCGGCATCTATTACATGAGTTCCGTGTAGGGTTGGTAGATGCCCATGGTATGCTCTACTTTTCTAGTGTAGAATATCAGTGGAATGGAAAAATGCATAGTGAATGAGAAATCCAGTCGTAGTGAAACCTTACACCAGAAAAAGAAGTTTTGATGATGCGAGAATTCCTCCAATTTGCTGGCATGTAAAATGCAGAAGAATATGTCGCTTTAACTGTGGTTTTAACAAAGGAGACGGAAATATCAATGTTTTCTATGGATAAATACTACATGAACAAGAATATATGTTATGATATTTCTGAATGATTTTGTACATGCCTTCCTCAACTTCTAATTCTCTCAACACCGCTTCGCCATTGGCAATTTCGGCCGCCATTTTCTCTGCGTTCACCTCTCTCATTCGTGTCACCCATTTGAGAACTTTTGTTCTGTCTCTCTGTTTGATTGCCTGCATTAAACGTTGAGTCAGCCGCATTTGCTCTGAAAGTAAGACGCTAACATGTATAATTTGTTTATAAAATTTTATGTACATATTAGGTTACGTAAATCGTCGATATATTGAAACCATGATATTGTTAAACTCAAGAAAGCTTTATTAAGATTTTGTTTTTAGGTTCATGAATTATCCAAATAATCTCCAGTTGAAAAGGATCAGCATGATTGTTCTCATATCGCCAATGAAATACGTACTTTCTTCCTCAAGGGCTCGTAGCTCGTCCAGTGCCTTCTGGAAAAGTTGTTCTTGTTTCATCTCTATTTGTAGAGAGTCCTCTTTAGAGACAACCTGAAATAGCATTCCATACAATTACGTATTACGTAGCATTCAAAGTTAAGTTGAAGATGATATAGTACGATTAAGTGCTACAATGTCTCAAAAGTAAAGCCCACACTAGGAAGTATAAAAGGACCGAGACCAAATATATCTTTTTAACGAACAGACATACCTCGTATGTAAAAACTCTAAATGGAACTTCATCTGTACGGCCAGACGCAAGGATCTCCACTACACCTCCTGGTGGCCCCGTCCGCACGTATCCTTCCCAGAATCGTCCGTCCGTCTGCTTCAGCTGACATTCAGGATGATCTTTCACTGTAATCATTCGAGCCTCTGGCATCGCCAGGGACACTTTGTGTACCTCGTGTGCCAGGAGGTAGAAGGTACGCGGCGCCTTAAGCCTGTATCCCAAACACCAAGTCGGTGCGGGGGTCTGGATTGGAGACGGCATTCCAGTTAGTGTAGGGAGAACAACATCAATGATTTTAACGTAAATAGGAATCCCTTCAGAACTGGAGATATTTGGCGGTCGTGCAAACACTGTGAGTTTGTATGATCCATGCTTAGGGAAAATACTTGTAATGGTTACAGTGTCATCCTGTGTGTCACACATGACGTAATTGTCGTAAGCCTCTTTCTTTAGGCCTTCTTCAAATACAAGTGTGGCAAACACGTACACTCCAGGGGGTCTCTTTATATGCATTCGGAACTCACCTGTGACAAGGTTACTTATGTATGATGGCCATGGATCTTCCTCGGAAAACCCTAATTTCCGGAATTCGTCGTTTGGTCCAAGATGATTTCCCTCTTCAATGTCAGGAAAAGGCTTTGTTTGTATTGGTTCGTCTTGACAGCTTACAAGGTAACTGCATGCCGGTGCAAACCTGGTTTTCTTATGTCGCTCTTTAGCAAGAACATTCAATGAATACTCGCCGGGTTCTGGCAATCTCAAGTTGATAGCCATTTTACCGTTTTCTATCGAATGCATGATATGTCGGTTAGAAACAGGTTCGTCTTTTTCTCCACGAATAAGGTCATGACGGAATTCGAGGTCTTTTTGTAATGTAAATTTTATTTCAGCATCTCCGTCTTCAGCCTCTACTTCGCCTTTTTTGTGTGTGACAGCGGTCATCCCCATATCCTTAGTGTCCTCTCCTGGACCCCATTCCTGTCTCATATTTGGTGGTAGAGGTTTGCAGCTGGCAGATGTTCCAGTACATTCTATAATGTATGTAACTAACAGTGCATGGTGTGTTTCGTTGGTTTCGCTTCCGTGTAACTCGAACAGGTACTGACCTTCGACTGGACACCTGATTGTTGCCCTGATATCTCCTTCATCGATGTCGCGCTCTAGAAACACGTATCTATCCAAAGTGTTTCGCGACGAAGATGCAATCTCTCGGCTCCCTTTGGATCTATACAATTTATACACAAATGCCATACTCTTCTTCTTTTTCATCCCCAGTACAAAGGTGACCGTTCCGTCAGGGCAGTGCACACGACACGTAGGATGTGACCGAAGATAAAGATCGTGCCTGAAGAAGTCGGATCTTAAAGCCGCTGCGTCTCTGGCTTCTTCGTATGTCAGTGGTCGTGCCAACAACTGGAATTTCTCGTCATCCGGAAAATGATCGTAGATAAACATTTCTGGATCAGTCAAGAAGTAGTAATCCCTGAACCTAACATGCGTCTTAAATGTTCCCCTGTTTTCACGCATGGCTCGACGCTGGCTGACTTTGCCATTCTCGTCTTCGATCAGCCGCCAGTTGTTTTTAAGAACGCCATACGCAGCTTCACAGATCCAGCGGACGTCCATCACTCGCCACTGGCCGTCCAAAAGAACTACTGTCCATGTCTTTTTCTGCTCCTTAAAGTCATCTCCTACTTCATACTTGATAGTGTTGCGGACACACCCCGTCACCGCATAACATTTCAATCCAGCGTGTCTACGAGAGAGAAATAGAACTATAAATTGTCGGAAGCTATTATGTTATAATGTGATTACAAAATGTATCGTTGACCTCAATCATCTACAATGTAATACTGTGCGATACAGAGAAGAAGCCATAAGCATACAGTCGATATCCCTGACAATACTGTAGAATAACTGATAAGTTATTTTACGATACTCAAAGAAAATACATGTGTTTTAAAGCAATCTAGCTAGGTTGTTTACAGAATTTAAGCGAAACGTTCGATCCTTGATAAACCAAATGCAAATGACAGAAATTCTTACTTGCAAAGAATGTGGAAAAGTTCATCGTAATCGATTTCACGTCGTCTCAGCTTCCACAGGTACATGGCGGTCGATTCTGCGTGACTCCATGTGGACCTTGGGAGATCTCTGATGTAATCATCGTCCAGACACCGGGCAAGCCATCTGTATGAGTACGCATTAGGTGGAAGGAAATCAAATGACAATTTTTGACACCTACATATCCGTCAAATAACAAAGACTGCGAAAGAAATCGAAATGCTACATGTTTCATAGTTTAAACGTCAACGCTTATAACATTAAAGGTTATGTCGCGTGTCTTGTGAACGTTCAATCTATGAGGTAAATGCACAGTGCCCTTCAAGGGACATTACCTTGTAAGTACTCTTGCTTTCTCCACGTCTGTCTCGGCAGGTCGAATTAGGAATTCCACTAATAGCGCTATACGATGGGTTAGGTAGCTTGACCCAGTCTGGCAGGATAGAAGTAAAGTTAAGTGTTAAGCGATATCCATTATACTTTGTCTTGCGACATCTTTTGTCTGTAATTTGATGAAATTTTGAAGGCACGGAGTAGACGCGATGGACTTTATTATGTTAACTTGTTCAAATAAACAGGAATACGTTCTCGTTAATGTTGCAATTACGATTTTTTTCCAGAACGAGTCTTTTTGGCTGTTTTGTAATTGTCAGAATGTTTGATATACCAACTGTAGTTTGGATTGTTCTATTGAAATGACTGAGATAATTAATAAAGCATTTTTTCATGCAGCTTTACCTCGAGCGCATGCGTATCCAGCTCATCTAAAACATCTTCGTCCAAAAGTGCGTCTTTTGATGTGGAGGGGGGACACGGGAGAGAACTACCATACTCGTCTTCCGGTGGTTGCCACTTCAGTTTGTGGTACACTTCCTGTGCCTCTCTAAGCAGCTCTGGGGTGGGTGGCTCTCGATAAAACCCCAACTTCCTCAAGTGTTCTTTCAATTCATCCTGCTGCAAATATTAAATTCGAAAGGTCATCTTGTCCATTCAGTAATTTGTCTCATTGTGTTCAATTTCCCTACAGGCGTATTACGTAGTAGTTACAATTACAGATATACCAACAGATATACTGACATCCGGACAGACAGCAACATACAACTAATATACAAACAGACAGACAGACAGACAGAGTAATAATGAAATAAAGAGAGAGAGAGAGAGAGAGAGAGAGAGAGAGAGAGAGAGAGAGAGAGAGAGAGAGAGAGAGAGAGAGAGAGAGAGAGAGAGAGAGAGAGAGATTTTCTTCAAGAATTATTAGGGAGATCCTTCATTATTTAAGTTCGGACGGGACATAGCTGGAGTTGAAATTTAAGAAAAAAAGATCAAACAAAACACATCGACTCGTGAAACTCATTCAATCACTTTTGATTATGGGAATACGGAGCAATTTAGCTGACAAGATTAACATTTGAAGTTCAACGTGCATGTACTGTAAATGACAGTTGTCTGGGTTCAAAGAAAATTACATAGCAAAGACTACAATTAACAGACATGTAGTCAAGACACGTACACAAGGGGGAAGGGGGCATTTTGAAATTTGATGAGTTCCATCAGCCAATGAGCGACTGGAATTGTGTTTTGTCTGCTTCAGTCCCTATCTAACTTATCTAAATCGAGATTTGGTAAAAAAAAATGTGCACTCTTTGGGTTTGCATATATAATTTTGTGAGAAATGAAAGAAATCTGCAATTATTTGGCTTCATGAAAATGCATATATTCAACACATTTCAATACATGTGAGGCGGATTTAGACAGGTGTAAAATGTCGGAGTTTTTCCCTAAGTCGTGGTTAGTTTCTGTTGTAAACTTTCACATATCAGATAGGGATTCGATCGATCGAGATAATTTTTTTTATCGTCTGTCATCGATATAAATGTATTATAAATGCAAATTTTCTTTAATACATCAGTTTTCCATTTAATGTGTTTAGTTGATTAACTGATGGAGTATACCATCTCACTAATGTTTTATAAAAACGCCATATACATTTTATCGTCCAATTTAAAATACAAGCGAGTTTTGTGTAAATATTGCTCGTTGACTGTTCTACTTTGATTTTATACGTTTATTGGCTGGACCAACTATTTAGGGCACAGTTTTAAAGGTACGGATCAATGACGGTATTGACTGAGCTGTCGCACCTGTAAATGTATGTCATAGTCAGAAATACTCCAATCAGTATCGATCAATGACATTTTGTTTCAGATATAATATACAAATCAAGTAATTGTTCTATTTTGTCGGTTTTACAATTCTATACAGCGCGAACCCGCCGACTATCTCACAGACAAATCTTCTTGTAGTACAGACAATTCAATTTACCTTATTTAGGCTTACGTAGTCATGAAATGAATTAACGTGTGTACAAGGTAGGTACTTCATGTTGGATTGAATTACGTTTCACGATTTCTGATTGTCTAATTAAGGAAACGAATATTTCATTAGCAGAAATACTGAAGATTTTAATGGTCCATGAATAAAAGACATCAGTTCAACATTCCTATCTGGTTCATTATTTATCTAAGCTTTACATCTAATGCAAACCAAGTTCAGGCCCCACTTGTATAAAACATCTCAACTTGAGATTTCCTCAAGTCGAGATTTTCCTCAGCTGATATCTCCTCAAAAACGGCTTGTATAAAATTTTCTCAAGGAACAGGAGGAAGGCATCGGCTAGGATGTCCTGAAATTCCTTGAGAAATTTTCATACACGATATTTTCAAGGAGATATAAGCTGAAGAAAATCTGGGCTTGAGGAAATCTCAAGTTGAGATGTTTTATACAAGTGGGGCCAGGTCTATTGATGTTTTAATACTTAGACGGATAAATATAAAAATACAAATATGTTGTTTTCTTATAAAGTCAAAACCTTGTAACAGTGTCATGTTGTTGTGTACTGTACAGTCATAAGTCGCATCAAAAGTTGTTTTTTTATAACATACAATAATTGATTTATGTAAACAATTTGTTTCAGTCACAAGTTTTTTTGTCTTGTAATATCTATCTAACAATGTTGCAGTGAAATACCGACATTTTTAACTAAGGAATATTTATATGTCAATCAGTTTTGTCCACTTTTGAATTCTTTCCAAAAGGACTAAAAAAATTTTAAGAGAATGCATTCTGAAACTCATACCTATTTTTTGCATCGATTGGTAACTACGGTTGATAAGTATTGAAACGATTGCAATGTCCGTCATTATATAACAATCTTACAACATATTCAAATATTTCATTCTGATACCAAAAAATACTTTTTTCCCGATACGTGAAAAAGATTTAAGTATTTAAATCGTCATTTTGTTACGTTTCAAAGCCTGGTTAAGCAACAAGTCATATGAAAGCACGTGTTAACGATATAAACGTAATTTACGATCAAACGTTAGAAAGGTAAATCACTTAGGATTGTGCACAGTTTGAAAATTAATTTCAATCAAAGAAGGTCTTGTTTGATCTTTTGTGTTTATAATAGGAGATTAAAAGATTAAATTAAAAACCCTACAGCCTTGGTACTGATATGTAAATTTCAGTTATTTTAATCCAATAAAGTCGATTTAAAATTGGTTATATAAGCATGTTTGTGGCGTTGTTCGTGAAGAATGATCGGATTAGAATATACCAATCGCTACACAACTTTACTCAACAGTAAAACTGTTAAAGGATATTTCAATGAATGCCGTGTTTGCCTTTCTGGCAATGACACATGTGACATATGTAAATCCTGAAAACTCCTTTCAGACGATAAACGCTGATATAGTGATATATGTATGTGTACATTCTGATTCAATGATGCTTTCCCCAAAAATATATATAGTGTTATAGAATTGTGATGAAATATTGATTATTAATGAGGGTTTTCTTGGTGTTTTATATCCTGCTTGGTATATAAATCAGAAAGGAAAACAAGTGATAGAAAGTATGTTTAACTAGATGCAGTCGCACGTGCTTGATTGATTCTATAAGAGAAAAACGTTTTCACGAGTTCGACAGTTTGTGTATTTAGCTTGTGTAATATATATAGACCAATAAAAGCTTCTTATAGCACCTCGCATACTTTAAATATTTAATTGAATTCCTCCAGGGAGAGATCGATAGAGGGCTTTATGTACACCTGATCTGCCCCCGGATACAGATACGTACTCTATTACCTAACCATCGACCAGTGATCCTTATAACAATAGGGCCACTTAATGAATTAAAGGCCATGTTTAATAAGTTATTAACAAGTTTTGATTGAATATTGACCTATACAAAGCCACAGGTCTCGGAGAGTTATGAATAGGTTCTATTATTCGAGGTAAACATCGGACTCCGGAACCCCAGAGCAACATTCGCTGTGCTAAATAAACGCGACATCCTGAGCTCAGAGTGTCGCTACTTTACTGGTTTTAAGGGAGCGATTTAACATGTAAATAAAGATTACTCCCTCGACAATACTTTCAATAGTTTAGCGGTATTATTTCAGTAATGAGATTTATTGCGTCTCAAAAACCTTTTCACATACCGATAAACGTATGCCTCTGTATATGGCTATGTCCTCGGAGTGTCTGAGATTTATATTTACAAATACCAACCCTGCTCCCGGGAGGTGTAACGGTTTAACGAGAACCTTCTTACCAAGGTGTGCTATCAATTCTTACGTTGAGTATTGTATATGAGTATTCAGAAAAGTAATTATAAGTCCACAGGCTTAAATTAGATATGTATTTGTAATGTTGTACTGTGATTTTATTATAGAACTTCAAATGATTTACATATATAAACTTTGTTTTTTTTTGTTGTTTTTTTTTTGGGGGGGGGGGGGGGGGGTTAATATATTTACGTCAAAAGATAGGAACACGTGCCATCATCCAGAAACCCTCTCGAACACCAGCTTTATAAATATTTTGCTCCTGCGATGCATAATACACTATTATGTTCACGTGACCGTCGGAGGATACTTAAGATAAAGGTCGAGTGGTTTTCGTAAGTTTTATTATAAAAAATGTTTCGTTCTTATAAAGACGGATTGTTCCTAGCTTACAATTGCTACTTTACCTAGAAGGCATATTAGAATTGTAAAACAGATACATCGTACTTTAGAATAAGCGAAACTTTTTTTTCATCGCCAGTTTAACTACATAATGGAGATGGTATTGTTTTACTGAAGAGAGCCAGGTAGTATTTTCGATTAGCTCCAACCAAATTAATTTATTCACATTGAAAACAAAAGCTATATAATTTACAACACATATTCGAACTAATGAGCACAAAAACCTGGTAGGGAAAACATGTTTGACAAAAGACGCTCAATGCAGAGCACATATCAAAACAAATGAAGAATTGGATTTAACAGAGCCAGGTAATATATATAGCGGTTTCGTCCTCGTAGAATTATCAGCGAGAGAGAGAGAAAAAAGATAAACTTGTTAAAAGATATGTACAATCATAACGACAAAATTTATACGCGTTCAAGCTCTTTGATTATGTATGTACTATATATATATATGTGTGTGTGTGTATATATATAGAGAGAGAGAGGTGGGGGTGGAAGGGGAGGGGGGAGAGAAGGGGAGGGAGGGAGGAAAGAAAGAGAGAGAGGGTGGAGGGAGGGGAGAGAGACAGACAGTCAGAGAGCCAGAGAGAGAGAGAGAGAGAGCAAACCACGTACTCTCTTTCATCTCAGTCGCGAGGGTATTCCTGATCACGTGGTCTGGTACTTGCCGTCAAATATCACTTTAATTATGTTCTTTATGTAGTTTTTATACATTTTCTGTTATGATTCTAATTTTAGAACTTTAATGGCAGGGTATCAATAAATAATTTAAAGAAGGAAGCACAACTCAATTCGGGATCAAAGAAAAAAGTGATAACGAAATATACGTATGTTTGAATGTCTCTTGAGACAAACAGAGCTGTGCATGATAGTGCAAGAGTGGAGCTTTCTTTAAGCAAATGCTGAGAACCTTTAGAGGCGCAGACTGTTAAGAATGAGATACCATGTACTCACCAGTCTTGGAGTTTCCCGTATATCTAAATACTCATATCCCGGTATTGAATATCGTGGCGACCCATGTCGATATCGAGACATTGCAAAATTTCTTTCAACTTGTCACATATATCCTTCTATTTCTCCCAGTCTTTCTATCTTAATGCCTGTCTTATCCTCTCATACGTATATGCGAAATAATGTGTTACGGTGTAATTCATATATAATCTTTATTAAGGTATCAAGTTGGATGGTTACCGTCCTCATATCATAAAATTATCTTTCCGACTCTTCAAAGCTATATTAAATTGACGAACTCATTAGAATATTTGTCTATCAATTAAATAACTTTAAAATGCTGATCAATTGATTTGTGTATATTAAGGGTCATTCTTAAGAGCGTCAATATAAGTTGTTAAGATATACATTCCTTGTGGTATTTAGTGTTGTGCAGGTACAATGAATAATCAGATAAATTTGTAAACGTATCACTCTAATCTCCGGAGACGAAGCAGTGACTATGTTCCGGAGTCGTCACCCTGATCAACACCGGCGATATTGTATTTAGAATATAATGCTTCACAATGCTTTCCCATCATGGGACATTTAACATCACGTACTTAAACATCCTTATCGAACGTACACACTCACAACAGCACATTGAATTACACATGTACGGATACTACCTAACATGTATATCCATCTCTAATATACATTTGCGCATTTTTTTTTTTTTAGTTTTTTTTTTTAGTATACAATCATGTTTCTCTCTCTTTTGTTTCATACAATCGATCAAGTGTCATTCATGGATAAAACCAATACACTTGTGTATCAGCGTCAGCAAAGTAATTAATTATTGATATTTCATTCAAGAATTGTATAGTAACTGTGTCATACTCGAGATGGGCACTGGGTGGAATTGTCAATAAAGTATCGCATATTGTGCTAATAACACTCTGTGATATTGTTCTATGGCAGAAGCGTTGACTAAATTCACCTGCTGTTGTTGTTTGGATCTCATTTAAATGCTACGCCGTTGAAAGTTTTGATGAATTAATTTTACCAGTAAAGGCAACATGTTCCAGTGACATTCAGAGATGCCGGGTGACAATATTTAACACGTCTTCTCGCCTTTCACGGAATTCTAAGTCACTATAAATTATTCCTTCCGTATCATACAAAATCTGTTACAGTAGACTGATACACCTAGCTCGTTCTGTTATTCGTGAAACAAAATAAACGTGAAATAGGTCTAACGACAATTGGATAGTTTGTTTATTTGTATTGCAATTTTATTTGTAATGGATAAAACCAGTTATCTGCTGTTTCATATATGTTTCTGATTAAGGCTGATAACTGATATCGGTGATTTTTTCCTGAAAAAGGTAAACATTTAAAACGTCTGAACATGCGCCTTTAAAGGCAGAAATATGTAATCGAATGTTAAAACAAATACAACTATTTTTTGCAGACGTATATAGTTGACAATTCGGTAAAAAGAAGACATCATGCAACTCATACCCGTTTTTCTTGTGTACTGTGCAGCTTGTATGTGTACCTAGCCACATCAATGGTATTTGAATTAAAGTTCAAGACAAAAGGTCACACGTATTTACTAAACAAACATCCTCAAATATTGTTGTTTACAAATAGTTGGTCTGTTGGTATAAGAATAACCTTTGAAAATATTTACATATATTTTTCAACAATTACTAAAAATAAAAACAAAATAACAACCAGATTTTTAATCAACAGGTCTTTTGAGAAATAAATAAATATCTTTCTCTAGAGCGAACTGGCAGTGTCATAACCCTTACTCGTACAGTAGGACAGGTGTGTTAGTGTTACATGCTAATCACAAAGGTAAACAGTTATACAGGTATACACTTCAAATTGAATCCTGTCGAGTTCTTACTATATAATATAACATGTAGGTACTTCAACATAAACATGTCAATAACAGATTTAATTCCTTTTCCCTGCTCTTTTACCTAAACTTGTAAACATCAGGAATAAAGAGAGGTATCAAGTACATTGATACATTGATAATGGAATGTATGATATCAAACATCAAGTGCACGACTATACACAATATTTGAGTCACAAAAAAATCCCAAAAAACAATGGAATCCTGATTATATCTTGTTAAAATACAGTAACTGATATGAGCAGTACAAACAGTAACACGATACCAGACTACCTGATTATTAGGCAATCACAAAAACACGGGCACTCTCATACATAAAGGACACTTTTCAATAACAGATTTTTAATTACAAGTCGATGCATACATATTACCGCGTAACACGATATTCGCTTACTCGGAGGTCCCCTACCACAAACCACGCCAAAATACGCTCAAAGAAAGTCGGAATGATAACAGAAGTTACAAATATCGGTCATGCAATGAAAGTGAAATCCTAATTAACCATAATTACGAACAAAATGACCTATTCTTAACCAACAAGTGTAAACTCTTTTTATCAGTCCCAGAACAGGTATTTCGAAATGAATAAAACCAGGTATCAAGTTTTCATGTTTAACAACGCGGCATGTATAGGAGTTTGCACAGTTCTTCACGGTTAAACAAGCTATGTCGTTTCTGGCATTGTCTCGTGCAATATGTGTCATTCTGTCATTATTGCTTGTCCTTAAACAATACTCTTTACATGACAATGTTTGTCTTCACAATATATAAAAGAAAATTCCTTAGGCTTTTTCAGAGCTCGTGGTGACCTCTTTTGTCCGGAAACAAAAGAAAATGTACGGCTAGCACAACCTATGCGAGAGGTATCATATTCTCTTAAGCATTGTATTGGTGTTGTGATATGCGTTGTATATGAAGGCCTCAAAGCAATATGTATATATTAATATTTGCAATGCAATTAAAATACCCGCTGTATCAGCATATTACATATATATAAATGCTGATAACTATATGACAGCGATATAGTGGAATGACATTTCCGTGTAACAATATCCGAGATCCAAATTGATTTATTGGAGCTCGCATAAATAGTTTCTGTCCCACCTATCAATATTTTATATCTACAGTGTAAGGCTATATCTCGTATAAAATGCGTTGCTATATCGTTCTTCCTGAGGTCTCGGCGCCTGTCAGGGACATAAAATGCCCGGACCAGCAACATGTCACGAGATTGCTGAGAAGGCAAGCATAACCGATTGGCTCTCTCGTCACAAGGTTAACCTTAATCATCACACAAGTATAACCCACTACCTATAGATACAAACGATTTAGTTCTGAGGTCACGACCTGCTTCCTTACACTGGATAGATCGATGAACACTCATCTTGAGAAATCGATCGGTGTCTCTATAATGGAATACTGAAAGTTAACACCCTGACGATATCTTACAATCGTCCATCTTCCTTAAGGTCTCCGCTGCTAGGATATCCTGAACGTTTGCATATGTAAAAAAATATAAGCTATTTGGAACACACAGGTGCTTTTGTAAACACAAATTGTGTCATAATGTTGTATACGAATGTCTAGCTCTGGGATTATACTTACCCTATCTAAGCCGTCGTTTCTTGCATTTTTATCCGACAAGTCTTCTAGTATTAACGATTCCATAATTCTGCTTGAACTTGAAATCGATTAATACAGACACATATTCTCCAAATTCCCTTGAAACGTTTATGCACTTTTACGGCGCTTCCTTCAGCACCAAGTTCAACATTGGTTTATGAAACCCAAATGCTAATGTAAAACGTTTTTACATTTCAGAATATATACTTCAGAAGCACATTCAAAAAGATGTGAGGCATCCAAAGGGTGCTTATTTCCAGTTCGTCAACTCCAAAAGTAGAAAGACAGTTTTGGTAAAAAATGTACGGTCGACAAGGCTTTACGTGCATCAACGGTACCAGTTCACAATGGAAAACCCAACAGTTAATTGAAGGTAAATGCAATTGTAGAAACTGTGCTACTATTTAAAACCTACTGCGTGTGTATATATATATATACGTACGTACAGTAACGGTACGTTAAATCTGTGTGTAATCTACGGACGGTTGGGGGTGCCCGTAATTGTGTATTGATTTTTCAGGTATACACATCATGGAATCATGCCAGGCCAGCCCAGGAACAATGAGTTCCCTTAAGGGTATCCAAAGGTAGACAACATTTCGAAGAATTACAAACTCACTACGTTTGGTTCTTGGTCACCTGCGGAGGGGTGTGTTCACAGAGTGACAGACCAGGATGTTAAGCATGCTTTGGAGAGTTGCCAATGTTTGAAAATCATAATATATTTACCTGCACTTATAGGGTAACAACTCATGGTGCCAATTCATGATGCACAGAAATTTATTTCAATATTTGTCCTTATACGTTATACTCCCAATTTGTTTAGACAGAACAACTTTTTTTCATATATGTACAATATATTAAATGATTGGAATGTTTGAGAATATGTAGAAATATTGGAAATATTATTTTTATAGAATACAAGTAACACTACAGATATTGCAATATTTGATTATTGGATTTATTGGACATGAACAGCCATGATGATCGATAGAACAGTTAGGATAAAGTGTCTTGCTCATGGACAAACTATTTCAGCACCGCAGGACGGTCCTGAGAAACGCAAACCGAACCAGATGATGTAGGTATAGAACCACACACAGAGATTTCAACCCGAGGTTGAAAAGTCCAATGCTTTTCAACCTTCCGTTGAAGTTACGCCCTCCTGTCTCCTACTTCCGGTTACACTTCAGTTATTATATGTACGCTAAGCATTATAAAGGAGACACGCAGGTGAAAAATTACACTGAATGTTAAAAGATGGAAGATTATACATGCAGAGAAAATATTCCTTTGATTCCAGATCTGGTGCAGAATCTAAACATATATTGGATATACTTGTTTTACCACTGAAAATTCTTTCAGACATAGATGTTAAAAGTAGTTGTTGTATCAATAGAGTTTTGAATCTGAGCGTGAAATTATATATGAGGAAAATTTAGAAACACAGTGGGCTTCATAGATACAACTGACACTTACATAAAATCTTGATAAAATATACGTCGTTTTAACAGAAATAGGAATTACGCAGAAGATAGAAAAACAGTAGAATGAATGTATAATGATCCAGTCTTTTTATTCTTCCTTCATATAGACATTCCAATCACAATTTCTACAAATATAAACACGTGTTTCTTTATCCTTGTAGGATACGACAAGCATTCTATTGTGTGTTATCAGTTCAGTGTAAATACCTAAGTAATACCCCCAACAACATTTAATCTGCTTTAGTCAGGTCTCATTGTTGTATGATAGTGTTGCTGGTGGTACATCAGAGACTCTATAGTCTCAGCAAGTCCTCACGGCGTGTACAGTAATAGAGAACAATGGTAAACCGATGTCAGAAATCACGAAAGGCAATAAAGCCACAAAGGCAATATCAACATGTCAACAGAATCCTAATTCAAACTCAAATTCAATCTCAAATTCAATAAAACAATGAACAGAACATGAACACACGAAGTAAAAGAGAATAAAACCAGGTGTTCCGAAAGAGTAGGCGTCTTCTGTTTCATCTACGACACCCGCCATGTAAATATTGGGCAATCCAAGTAATGTCATGTTTCCAGTTGGGAACATGGTAAACAACAACGGAACAAACGAACATCAAACCACGTCCAACTTCTTATCGCATAAGGATATATATATATATTAGGTAACCCTGTATCCAATACGGCACCTCAGTGAAAAACAATATTTGCGTCATTCATTTTCATTCAAGAATCTTATATTGGTATGTTGAATAAATATATAGATAAATACATGTAATAAACAAATAAATGAATTATTGAGAAGACAATGACCGATTGAATAAGAAACAGACAACCTTCTATGGGACACCAACCGATAACTTTCAATGGGACACCAGCCGTCAGCCGTCTATGGAGCACCAACCGGCAGCCTTCTATGGGACACAAACAACCAACCTTCTGTGGGACACAATTCAATAGCCTTCTACATGACACACACCGGCAATCTTATATTGGATAAAACCTCATAGCCTTCGATGAGACATAAAACGACAACCTTCAATAGGTTACAAACCAACAGCCTTCAATGGACACTAACCGACAACCTTCTATGGAACACAAGCCGACAACTATTTATGGGAGACAACCCCATAGCCTTCTATGGGACACAAACGGACCTCCTTATATGGGACACAAACGGACCACCTTATATGGGACACAAGCCGACAACTAATTATGGGAGACACACCCATAGCCTTCAATGGGGCACAAACGGACCACCTTATATGGTACACAAGTCGACAACTATTTATGGAAGACACACCCATAGCCTTCAATGGGACACAAACGGACCACCTTATATGGGACACAAACGGACCACCTTATATTGGACAAAACACCATAGTCTTCGATGGGACATAAGCCAACAACCTCCCATAGGGTTACAAACCACAGCCTTTCACGGGATACAAACCGACAGTCTTCTATCGGACACAAACCGACAACTTTCTACACATTCTATGAGAAAACTCGCTAATACATACCTAGTTTATTATTTTTTTTCTCGTTTTCCAGACACAGTTTGAGGGTGAAGTAAAAATACAAAACAATATTGGTTATTACAGCGCCAAACACTACGTACATGTAGGAATGTGAGCTATACAAGACTTATGGTAAAAATGAATTTCCAAGACATTTCTATATATCCATTTACTACTATCATAGCAACTCATCCCGCTGTTTCCGTAGTTAATAGGATTTTACACATTAAAATCTATCTCTGTATTTTCTTTACAAAACTAAACATGAAGAATATTTACGACAATTTGTGGTATATTGCACCAGTTGAACTATTTCCCCGTCTGGAATGGAGACAATGATGTATATATACGCATTTAATGTAAGTCAAATGAAAGTGTAAAACGATAACATTTCTTTGTCCTTTTATACAACAAGTTCGTAACACTCTGTAATTTATTGCTATGTTTGCACGTTCTGGAGTACTTTATGGGAATAAAATACAGATATTCTGACGAAGTGATGTATACTCTCAACACAGGCCTCCGCAAAGGTGGACGACAGATATGTAAACACTACTGTGCTTATGTACGTGATTCAAATGGCTAAAACCTACAAAGCTCCCCGGTCCGACAATTTTATCTTATTTAGTTTCACATTAAGTTCACTAAAACTTGAGCTACCTGGTTATATAACTATGCGACTGTTGAGATTTGTTGTGATTTGTTACTCTGTGGAAATTTGCCAGATTTTACTGTACACAATTACCTGTGTAGGTAATGCTTGACAGACAGTCATTGTTATCTATCTGTAAAATGCGCTCTTAAGTAGACATATATACATATTATGATAAGACTTTTACAAAAGACACACAAGTGAATAGCACATTTTAACAAAATATAGTTAGATACAGTAGAGACAAACTATTAATTAAACTGCATTATACAGTTGTTTCGTCCTTCTAGGACTCGTCAGTGATTCTAAATCATACAGCTGTTTCGTTCTTCTAGGACTCGTCAGTGATGCTACATCATACAGCTGTTTCGTCCTTCTAGGACTCGTCAGTGATGCTACATCATACAGCTGTTTCGTCCTTCTAGGACTCGTCAGTGATGCTACATCATACAGCTGTTTCGTCCTTCTAGGACTCGTCAGTGATTCTACATCATACAGCTGTTTCGTCCTTCTAGGACTCGTCAGTGATGCTACATCATACAGCTGTTTCGTCCTTCTAGGACTCGTCAGTGATGCTAAAGGCATCAATTTTGAAAGCTAGGAGGCAACAGAGGACACTACAAAGCGATTAAAACATCGATATTGAACGTTTACGGGACAAAAACACCGAGACGTCCAGCAAAAATATAGGGTGTAGTTATGATATTGGTCTTTTCTCCGCGGAAATTGTGGATCTTGAAAAAATGCGAAGATAGCATTACACTACATACATATAATCCGATTTGATATTATGACGTTTTCAGCAACACTTATAAAAATGGCGGTAAATCGACTATGTAGATGTAGACATTTTACTGATTTTGTATAACACATTATAAATAACTTCTCAAACATGGAATCCTTTTCAACCGATAATACTAAAAATACATTTTGATGTATTGTTTCATATAGCATTGAATTATCACCAGTCAAATCACACAGAGAATGATGATATCTTATATCTTGTCACATTGCATTACTTTGTCTATTTTCATAAGTATTTTCTTTCTGGTTGTTATAAAGTTTTCGGCATTATCTATTTTCTTGACAATTTAGTTGTTCGCTTATCAATATATTGCAGCTTATCCCAATGTCACGCCCTCATACATTTACTCGTTGTTTCAGCGCCGACATTAAACTTTACCAAGAGAAAGTCTGTATTCTCAATGGTTTGTATGCATTTTTTTAAATTATTATTTTCAAAATCAATTATTTCTAATTTATGTTCAAAGCTGAACTGAAGTATATACAGTTATATTACCTTTGAATTATCAGAAATGCCAACTTCACCTGTAATTGTAAATGACACCCGGGCGATAATGATGCAACACACTCTACTCGACT